TAATAATGTAATTTTTCCGACCTCGTTTTGTTTCCGGTTTTTGTAATACGGTTTTTTTTTGCAATTATGTCTTCTGGCGTCACCGATTTAGTTGTAAGCTTCACCTGTCTAATATTGTGATTGTATAGTTATTTTATTGCATAGGTAGTAGCTGCGGACCAAGTACCCGGCTAATATTGTCTCTTCTGTAATATTTTAAATTTACTCAGTTGGAAAAACAAAATTTTATTGTTTTACTTCATTTTCCTCCTCCCCGTTCCTGATACTTCATAAAATATCAATTAACATAGCAGCAGCGTGGCAGAAAATGTTAAGAAATACGCGTGCCTGTAAATCATAAGGGACGAACCATCCATAAATTATCTCACTAATTTTAGAAAAACTTCCTCGCGTCCTTGCTACAGGTTGTCACACCCCTTCTTCCCTAATGTGACTTATTAATCTTCTTAATCTTAACTTATTTTTATTAAATAATCTTTAATAAAATCTCTAAGGAGCACTCGCCGACGACTTAAACCTATTTAAACATTGACAATTCAGAACTTCGTGAATTTTAGTGTCTCACTTGCATTACAACGCGGCTCTTGTATGAATGTATAATATAATATAAATATAACATAAAGTTGAATGTAGTTGCTTAAGAGATAATTTCATAGCGAGAGTGCTAAAGTGATAATAAATTCTCAAGCACTGGTCACCATTCTCGTCGAAACCGTCGCGACGAAAGGTTTGGCGAGCATATTAACGCTCAGACACACCCACTAAGTTTCTCGCCGAGCCGTCTTAGTGAGTCGCGTTTCCGATCTGGTGGTAGATTCTGCGAAGCACTGCTCTTGCTAAGGCTAGTGTTAGCAACGAAAAAAATCCTAGTACGAGTTCTTAAATGTTTAGTTTTTTATTCACGTAAATTTCCGGTTTCAGTGAATTTGAATGTTAATATGTGACGTCCCAAAGATTTTAACGCTTCTCTGTCCTTCCTCTCCATAGACCTATATAGTAGGGACACGACATATTGTTCTATACGTACAATTGCTTATATAAATAGCACCCATTTTGAAGGCACATACATAAACATATATCTATCTCGTTCTTACTCAGCACTTTAACTCGCAGGAAAACAATATAACAGTATTTCAGTGCGTACATAAAATGAAACATGAATATACGTAAATGTCTCCGTCTCCGTCTAATGAGGCCGAAAATCCGCCATGTTTAGCGCGCCAAATGTCATTGTCACGTCAAATCATAGACCTATATAGTAGGGACACGACATATTGTTCTATACGTACAATTGCTTATATAAATAGCACCCATTTTGAAGGCACATACATAAACATATATCTATCTCGTTCTTACTCAGCACTTTAACTCGCAGGAAAACAATATAACAGTATTTCAGTGCGTACATAAAATGAAACATGAATATACGTAAATGTCTCCGTCTCCGTCTAATGAGGCCGAAAATCCGCCATGTTTAGCGCGCCAAATGTCATTGTCACGTCAGTTCGGCCGTCTGTTTTGGGTTGTACATTATTTATTGACTTTGATATCGATTTAATATGATTGCTTATATAAAATTTCTTATTTTATCATGCTTAAAACATACAAAAATAATAATTAAAACATATTTTATAGGATCTCAAGAAAGTCGTCGGAACTATTTAAATAAAATAGTTTTATAACACTATTGTCAACTCGTTAAATATTTAATAATTAAGTGATTTTAGAGAGGAAGTCACAAGGAATGACGTTTGTAATTTTATTAACGAATAAATGTTCTGTAGGTGTTTTTTTTTATCAGGCGGTCCCTTGATAAGTTTAAAATTTGAATCACTCTCAAGTGAGAGTGATTCAAATGGTGCGGCGTACCTTCCTTGAGGTGCGCTGCGGTAGTGTGTTACGGACTTTAGAGTCAGCAAAACAATTAAAATAGATTGTAATAGTCTAAGAAAAACACGTACTCAAAATACGATAACATTCAGCATGCTAGAAATGGGCAGATGGCACTGTACTACGCCATATCTTTATGTTTTGCGGCAAACGACAACTTTATAAAATCAGTGTAGCAAATTTTAAAAATCGTCATATCGTTTACTTGGCAAATTTGAAGCACGAACTCGTCTTAGATTTCACATAATATCTAAATCACATCATCTTTGCACATAACAATATACTTACTTCCTATTATAGTATAAATTCTACAAATACATTCACTCAACAATATTTAAAATAAAATGAGCCAAGAACGTTTATCGATAAAACCTACTAACATTAAAATCTTCTGGGCAGCACTAAAACCGCCATGTTTTGTGGCCAGATGACGTCACAGTGGCACGAATTTTTTGTTGACGTTTCATTTCCATAGGTTTCCTACTTCAGTGTTCCTCTCCCCCCTAACGAGTGACGTAATTTTTGGATGTGACACTTTATAAAACACTACAACCTTGCTTATTTCTGGCGCAAAGTAATCATGCATTCCGGTGTGAAAGGTGGAAATGTGGTCGTAAGATGGGTGTCTCCGGGGTTTGGTTACCGTCATAGAGCGCCATCTGTTTAAGTCACATTTTGTGATTGAACAATATATAATATTATGAAGCTGTGTGTAGATCTTACAAATATATGTAACTAATTTAATTAAAATTGGACCGTGTTATTCAGTAGGTATTGATAAACAAAATTTCAACATGAAGCTGTTGAGTGTATGCGTAACTTATATTAAATAGCGAAGATACAATACATGAATCAATCAGGCACGTTTTCCACGCTGAGAGAATAAATTTGTGTTCAAAAACAAAATTACAAAACGTAATTGCTAATTTTATCCGGACAGGAAGCGCGCCCTGGCCCATTAATGGTTGCGAAACATGACAGGTTTTTTTTATTGGCTTTGTAGCATACGAACATACGGCCCATCTGATGGTAAGTGGTAACCGTCGATCATGGATGTCGGCAATGCCAGCAAATACTTTGCATTTCTTAGCTTAAGGTCTCGAGCGAACACTTATCGGAGGACCACAAACATCGCGAAGCAAGCGGACGAATCAACATGAAACAAGTGAAGGCAATCGGGTTAATATGGCCCGCAATAAGCCACACCTAAGGCCGATCGCAATGACGAAATCCTATTGAAGCCCTCTACCCCACCTAGGGGCCTTAGGACCTCAAATAATTCCGACCCTTTTCTTTTTGTCCCTACCTACTCGCTGGTAGCCTAAGGGGCTATTCCAGCTATGCCCGGACGGCTTCACGGGCTCAACCTGAGAGAATTTTCTAGCACTAGCCCTAGCAAGAGCAGTGCTTCGCAGAATCTACCAACGTATCGGAATCGCCACACACTAAGAAGATCCGACGAGAAACTCAGTGGGCTGTGTCTATGGGTTAGTTCGCTCGTCGAGCTCCTCGTCGTAATCGAAGAGGACGATTACCGGTACTTGTTAGACCTAAAAGCACCGAAAGTGGATCCGGGGATCCGACAAGATATGTTTTGGGCGACGGCGGCTTTGCGTTGCCCCTTGGCTTGGGTCGGTTAAGTAATTAGCGGCGGCCCCGATAAGAGAATTAACGTGTTGCGCCGCTTTGTCGTAGCAGCGTTCTGACGTTACCTTAAGATACGTATCGGTTCTAGATTTAAATCGTCATGAAGGTCTACAATCCACACGTTCGACGGTGCTCCGATGACTATTCTCTAGAAACGGGATTGGATGACCTGATGGGTGTTTATGTGCATGCGGTCCGCGTGAACGAGCACTACACTTGCAAATACTGATTCATAACAACATTCGTGAAGCAATCGTCGAATTGGTTTCAAGGGTGGGATATCCTCAAAGGAGAACAAGGAAAGACAGTAGAAGGGGAACTTTCGTGCCATAAATGGAAAAGTACCTTATAGGTACATTGATGTGACAAGGTTAAAAAAAATCAGGTGCCAAAATATCATACTTTTATTTTATAATAAAAATGGTAGTCTACGGTAGACAAACTCAAAGTTAACAATACCTACTTTCCAAAATACTTTACTTTTAGCGCTGAATGAGAAGTAAATTCAATTGTCTAACAGACGAATTGGACAGGCAATTAATTAAGATCCGTTTATTTTTATTTCACAATGAAACTGTTATAAACTTTCTTGTCGCACAATTCTCCTTATTTAATACTCAATGCGCAACGATACAAAAATGTTGTTGATTGATGCAAAAATGAAATAAATTTTTAATTAATTTAGACAAAGGCAATAGGCACGCGGACTTCTCATTAGGATCGAAGAGAATTTAACTAATAGAATTGCGCGTCCTATTTAAAGCCATATCAGAAAAGGCAACATAATATGAATACACCAATATTACGATAATAAACTTCAATACTAATGAGACTTTCCGCCACTGCATAGGCATTATTTAACTTGTAAAAATATTCTAACAATAAACATTATAATTGACTTTATCAACATCACACAGATCCAGGCAAATCTGAGCACTAGCAAAATAAAATTCTTTTATTATGTCGTCACTCACTTGATTCTTAAACATTTTTTATAGAAGGTTAAAGCTAGTAATTGACTTGAATAAAAACATCGTACAAATTAAGACAAATTTGAGCACTAGCAAAATCAACTTAATATCATTTCATTGTCGCTGATTTTATTTTTATACATTCGTTGACAGGCACACAAGTGTAGACAGGCACATAAATTTTGTAAGAGTAAAAGCCTTCTGGGACTTTTAGGACAATCCAAGCAATTTCTTGATGCTTTCGTATTGACTTTTCTCGTGAACATAATATTAAATCAGGCAGAATTTTTAGAAATAAGAAATCATTTTTGGGTCACTAATTTAAAAAATTAATAATACTATTTAAAAAACTACAAATATTTATGCGTCTATTTTAATATATTATTATTAATTAATAAATTAATTATTAAAAATCATAAATTTGTTATTAATTTAAAAATCTATTTTCTTATTTTAGATAATACATTTCTAAATTCATATTATAATATTTAAACCCGCAACAACACTACTAATTGGTTGAAGCAGTTTTATTTTAATATATATAAAAAATACCGACTAAATGGAATAAAAAATGAACTCTTTATTTAAGTAAAACTTAAAAAATGTCAAACGGCTGAGCAATAATTTTCGTTATTTTGTTCTATTATTTCTTTACTTCTATGTACAATGATATTCTTCAGGACTTTATAATTTTCATCATTTCTAATACAGTACAATTCAGGTTTCGAGGTCACTCATAGACGACTAGGATTTTATGAATTGACAAAAATATTAATTTGATTTTTTAATAGCGCCAAATTACCTTCCGCTCTAAAGGTGTTTGCAAAAGAAAACAATCCTAAATTCATTTTTATAAAAAAACTTTGTAAATAGGAAGAAGGCTCAATGGAAATGAAAATAAAAGACCTAAAAATCTCAAAGATATGCAAATGGGAGAGCTGGAACTTCAGAACTGCAAAAAATCTTTTTTTTCATAAACACTGACTGGTTTCTAAATTACTAACAAATGTATTATAATCTTGGTGGCTTTCTTCAACATGAAAGTTTGACCCACCACACACCCCCCTACTACGCGAAAGTTGGACTTCTTCATCTTCTTGCCCTTATTCCTTAAAGAGTGGGGTCGGCGCAGCATGATCCTTCTTTTCCATTCGTGCTTATCAAACGTTTTCTCTGCACTTACACTCTTCTCTCGAATATCCTCTTTCACAATGTCTATCAGTCTTTTTATGACGTCCCCTCGACGTCAACGTGAGGACATTACCGTCTTCTTTCACATTACTTTTCGTGTTGGTGAATGGATCGTCATTTACGAAAAACTACCTGAACAGCGCCCCTAGCGGCAAACGTAGGCAAACATTCCCACTCCATACAAATTTAAGTTAACTTTGACGCTATCGAGAACGTTAAAAACTCGCACTAAGCACAAAATACTTTTATTTTATAACATATCTACATGACAATTCTTGAGCCGCTCATAAGTAGTTACTTAACGACGAACGAATGTTTCATTCTCTTTAATTTTTAACCGAATAAGTTCAGTATTGACATTCGGTTGCCGCGTTTCATATTCGTTCATCATGAACTACACAAGTTGAGTCATAATAACACAACATGGACGATTTTAATGTAGATATCGAAATTATGTATCAATTTAATTTATTTAACAATTCGTTGCTTAAACGTTATCTTTCAACATAGTAAAATGATACTATAATTATTAATGCTAAATACGATATATTTATAAGAATTCGTTGTAGGCGAGCAGACAATATTTTTAGAAAGTTTTCCTGTTATTTACAAACGTAGCCATTTTGGCTTCGGATCCTGATGTCTGCTTGATTTTCGTCCAATTTATTCTATTTTTTCCTTGTATAAAAAGTAGAAGGCCATATTATTACAATGCTCTGGTTCGATATACTCATATAGCATAATACCGATGGTATTATTCGTAAAACTCCTGTTATCTAAAACAGCCACAATATGTGTGTTTTCATAATAATTTTCATTTTGTGATTATAGACTTCAGAGTATGCCGCTCGTCCCGTTTACAATCCATTACAACTAACATATTCTTAACAAATAGTTACAGTTGACAGGCGTTACTAGCGTTTATAATCGGTCTGTTATAATTCACATACATTTCCAACACTAATTTTAATGTTGAAATATTATACACAGTTGAATTCTCACTAGACTCTGGCATCGTTGACTGAGCTGGTACTTGCCACATTAATCACATACAAATTAACAATAATAGTAATACAGTTGTCCTGTCTACTTTTATTTTATGGTACTCTATGAATCTGTATTCAGCCGTTTTCGAATTGCATTGTACACTAACTGTTTTAATATTCCTAATTAATTTAATCAGTCATTTTTTATCGCGCAACCAATACCAGTTCTTCTGAAATCGCTTTTAACATTAACACCGCTCATTCACTTCGGTTTATGGTAGTTACCATTGTATTGCCTACTTTATGCACTGAAAAGTGAAATAATAATACTAATAAGTTATATCACCAACAGCACATATGTACATTAGTTAACTGTCTGACTAACATGATTTAGAATGAATAAATCCAGTAACTTATTGCTTTTTCACATGAAATTGTTTTTATCATAACTAAGACTGCATATAATATTCCCTTCAACAAATAATCAAATCTCAGATAATTTTGAAATTGCCCATATCAAATACATAATATAGGATTTAAATCTTGCAGGGTTTATACAACAATGAAGAGATCATAATGAGTAATTTTCCAGAATGCTTCTCTTCTTACGGTTCCTTCAACATTCCCATTTTTATTTAGCAAATAAAGCCAGTGGCAACACCTTATCTTCTATAAACAGACATTAACTTATTATATTATAATATATAGTAATTGATGTTTCTAAACTTACATGGCTGTAAGCAATTACTGCTAGTAAAAAAAATTTAAAACTAAGAAAATGAAAGTAGCTTTTAATTAGGCTTGATTTGCTAAGGCACAGTCAGTTTTAAGCCTAAAAAAGGAACAGAAAGCAAAAGATTATTCATAAATCATAACTGATCTGGATTGGTTCTGTTATAGGGGAATATGTTGTCTATAATAGTTATGAAATATAATATATTGAAAATAACATGCCAATATATCCATAATAGCTATTAACATTATTACTAAAACCTATTGATGTATAATACTATTAATAATTTACAGAATATAGATGTATACAGTATTTACTACAAAATTAACATTTTATAGACATAGGAAAAGATCATATTTGTTCTGATAAAAGAATAACTTTCATGTTTTATATAATTTATAATAACAGTATAATAGTACTAAATTATGTTTCTATATGTTTAATTCTATATGTCTAAATCTTATATCCTTAAATTTGTACTTATCATTGCAATATTTTAGTAAAGTTTATTTAGAATTTTTTATTTCTTGTAATTATCAATTTATTTCCATTAATAACAAGCTTTTATTCAATCTATCCTTGATCATATCACAGGGGGACTTAGTTTTGAAGTCAAATGGAACAATATTAGATGTTACTTGTTCTTTCAAATAAGGCACAGGTATCGGCTTAATCCTTGCCGACACAATTTTACCAAAAGTAGAACACTTTGCTCTATGTATCATATTATGCAGTATATAAGACATATCTCGTTTACAGGGCTGCAAATTTTGTATATTATTTTCGGGACAACTTTTATCAAAAATTTCTTCTATCGGAAAATCATCTGATTCATGAAGATAGAGTGAAGAGCTAGTAGTACTAGTACTTAATATATTTTCCTCAAACACTTTGTTCTCAAAGGGTGTTCCTAGTGCTGTTATTAAATCAACTGAATCATCGTTTGAATGGATTGTCAATTCGTTTAGTTTAACATCTAATACCTGATTGTCTTCATACTTATGTTCTTTTGCTTTTAGCATGTTAGTTACTTGTTCAACTAAAACACTTTTTATAGGGCTTACCGACATGCTAGAGTGCGATTCAATAAATCTCTGACTGGGTGAAGAGAGCCGTGAGTCTGACATACCTTTGCGAATTCCATTATTCAGTGGTATAGCAATAGCCTTACTTGAATGTCCTTGCGGGTTGACCGATTCTGTTTCGGGTACATTTGATTGTGAAAGATGATTGTCTACGAGAGCCAACAGCGATGAGAATGAACTTGAATCATTCATTTTAATACCTTTTTAGTTCTTCAATATGAATCTTGTCACGCTATATCATCTGGCTTTTGTGATAAATCCATGTGTAAAATGCGCTATTACTGTTCAAGTTGCTGGTCTGGTTTATGTAATGATCAGGGGGGTGCAACTCCCATACAAAGGAAAAGAACATTCAACTAGCGTCATCTTTAGGAACCGGCGAGGTCATTTTTGAAACGTTTTGGCCTTAATGAACTAATAAACTCACTAGATGGCAGATACGAGTTCTGACTCAATAAAAAAGGTTAGCGTACTTTGAAGCAGTGCTTCCACTTTTAGGGAATTCTCCCTTTTTTAGGGAAAAATAGCTGATATTTTGGATGATAAAGACAATTTAAAAAATACCAGGATTTAGGATATTTCGGGGTAAAAAGCAAAGCCTATACTAGTAACTGTTGTGAATTTTAAAATAAACGATAATTAAAGTAAAACAATGAACATTTTATTTTATGGAGAGAGAATGACATTAAGTCGAGTTGACAAGTAAAAGAATAAAACAGAGTTGTGTATAAAAACTATAAAGGTTTGATTCAACAGTAACCCTCTAGTAAAGTAAATCATAGATTAAGCCACTGCTTTTTCTTAGGGATTCCCCAGAATCCCAATAAGTATAATCCGCCAAATTTTTATTTACCTATTTTCGTTGATGTCACCAGAACTTACTTGTATTGTAATATACAGGTACTTCATGTACCATGAAAGATTATCATGGTAATTTCATTTACGAAAACCTTGTAATTGTCATTTCACTTTTGCTAGCAGTTCCTTCTTCAAAGACTGAGGTGGAAAGATTATTCAGTGTTCTCAAATTTAAAAACTGACAAAAGAAACAGGCTTTCTAATGAAACCCTGAACGGCTTGCTTCATAGAAAGTTCCCAACTTTGCCAGCAAACAATTGCTCAATTTTAGAACCGAACAGTGTTAGGTTGTGCAGCAAAAGAATATAAAAGCAATGCGTCGACTTCCTTGAAAATTCTAATCCTATAGATCTATGATCTTCTGGGGGCGTTTATATTATATATACCTACATTAAATAATATGCTGTGGTTTATTTTCTGTATTTTATTTACGCTTTCTATATAAAGGATTTATGAAAGTTGTCTAGGAAATTTTAGGGTAAATTCAAAAGAAACTAGGGTAAAATGTGTTAAAAAAAACGTAAGTGGAAACACTGCTTTGAAGTTTTCAAAATTCCAGGGCCGTAAAACAATCTCAAAAAAAAAAAAAAAGTTTTCAAAATGTCGTAACGATTTAATTTTTTAAATCGTTTTTTTTTGGCTTGGTGTGAGTTATTTTACGTTGTAGTATTAATTTAGAGCAACTTTTAGCTTTATGAGAATATTAGACGATTAGACATTGAGAAACTCTGTTTTGAATTCTCTTTAGACATAACTTGGCTCCAATACTTTTTTCTTCGTTAGCGTTTCGTAAGCCTGTGTAACTATTTTCATTTCTTACAGAATGTTTATTATTAAAAATCAGCATGCCTCGAAGATCGAAAATGAAATGCTATTTCGGATGCCTTGATAACGGTGAGTTTACACTATTTTCCCGGTATATTATTTGCTAACAGAATTATTATTCATAATATAATTAAATGAATTAGCACCAACTAATGGTCCTTCCTATTTCTGCTGCCTAGCTATCATATATGTTAAGTTTTGATCAAAACAGTCGGTATTAAGTCTCGTACTATCACACACACACCTCAGATAATAAAATTGTCTCGAGTGGGTGGAAGTATTTATGTTTTGCAACTCAGCGTATTATATGCTTATTGTCAAGTGGGCCCGAACTAGTTTTTTGGAATGATCAATCAGTCATGCTTTCCTGTTTAAATAAAATACAGCACAATTGATCTCACATCCAAAGTTAGATGATGGCATTCACGTTTTGTTTCCTGGTGTTTGATAACTAAGTTACACCAAGTGGCCTGTGACCACGTTCATCCTTCTACCCAATATAAAATAATGTTTTTATTTTTGTAGACAAAGGTTTGATAATGACAAAATTTTATGGAAAAATTATAAGGAGCACTAAAATGTCTGAAACATGAAAAGATTGATGCACTATATTTGAACCAGAACGTGTTATGTAATATATTAATTTGTAAGTAAGATTACATTAACACTAAATTTTTCATGGTCGTATTTTTTCAATATTTGTTACATACTTAAGATACTTTGTTTCTCCGTTTCAGAAGAGAAACTGATTCAGCAAGGAACGTGAACTCTCAAGGGATCTTAATTTTTTTTAAATATGTTTATAATTGATAAATTAATAATTGAAATAGTTCATAAGAACTAAATTGATGCCAATTTTGTTTTAAAATAGGTTGTTTAGTTCTTATAGTTATAGTATTACGTTTGAATAGTTGTAATTAGTAAGTTAGTAATATATGAAAATACTGATATAAATTTTTGTAAATAACCTTTTGTAAATTCTACGAGAAGATGATTTTAATTAATGATCAAAAGTCAACGGTCTTTAAAAGCATTATTTGCAATTATTTAGATTAACTGTGGAATATATTTGCTAAGTTGTGTTTTCTGTATGAGCAGATATAAATGAAAATGCCCAAACATGATTATGTTTCTTACATTTTCATTATGTGAAATCAATATGCTTGTGACTGAGTATATTAATAATTTATTAAAACTTAAGTGATAGACAGCAACCCCTATGGCACTGCTGAAGTTTATAAGCACTGGTGACCACTTATCATGGGCCGGGTTGCGTGCTCGTCTGCTGTTGAGTGCAATAAAAATTTTCGAAACCCTTTCTATTATTTAGATGTAATATTAGTGTACATTTAATTTGGATTAAAAGATAAATTTACATTTTATGTTTGCATGTGTATGTTTATAATTCATTTGCATGTAACGAACACCAGTTTCTTTTGTAACAAAATGTAAACTAATGGTTTGTAATGAATGTAATTAACTTTAAGATGATTTTCTTTCAATCTGCTGTTTGTTTCATCTAGTATTACCAAAGCTAAAGCATCAGAAACGTCAGAATAGAAATAATTTAGATAGGGAATAAAAGTATAACTAATGTAATCATGTCTAAGATTACTATAAGCGTCATTAAGTACAAACTATCAATATTTAAGAGTACTTTAAATCATCATTACATTTTTTAAACATTTTTTGTTTTTCAAATCATGTAATAAAACGTTTGTGCAGAACAAAATGTCACATGTTATGAACATGATTGTGGGTTAATCGTTTCTTAAATTTCTAAATGTTTATAAGAATGCTAAGAATAATTTAGTATTCACTTTAGTGTGTGTATTATCTCTACAATGCTAGTATAAATGACAATTATTGTATGACGAAGCATAGGTAGTGTTTATAGATGTAATATTTTCATACAAGGTCATGATCTGTCACGATCAACTTTAAGCAAGAACTGCTATAGTTAAGAAACAAATTTATTAAATTTAATTCAAATTGTCTACTATGTTTGTAATGGAAAGCTGACATGTTTATATTTCGCACAAATGACTTAAGTGACATTGAATGATTTGATTATCTAGACTTAATTAACTTTTAGATAACTTTCGATTTAATGTTATTAAGTACTCTAGTAGGATTAATCTAGAGGAGTTATTGTTATTCGAAATTTTATACAATTGTACGTTCATACTATCTTTTAACAGTAAATTGTTTGTAATATAGGGAAATTAAATAGCTTACAGAGAATTACAGCTTTTTATTTAAAAAAACTGTTTTCTCTCTGTATGAAAAGGTCTTATCGATTAGAATGCTGAACACAATCAAACGTTCTTTAATATTTCATAAGTACTACCGGGAATTTCAGCGATTCTAAACGATAAGATTTTTTCATAAAGAGAGTTATTAAAAATATTAAAATTCCTAAAAAAGCCACCTGGTGGGGGGTAGGGAGACTAATAATCGACCGTAGCGACGCCTGCTGGACCGGGCTTTAACTAAAGCAAAAATAAAAATGAGAGTTGCGCATCTATCTCTAATATATTAAGTGTATAATCTATGGTAATGATTCTTTAAATCATGATTGTACCTACTTTTCTTTGTTTCAGTTTCGTCTGTTTGTTGTAGGTTAGGGATGTCAAAAATATCGACACATCGACTTTCATTATGCAGCACAAATAATCGATAATATTTGTGATCTTTAGTGTTTAAATTAATTTATACAATTTTAGGCATACAAATTAATGTACACATTAGCGTATACATTAACAACAACAATCATAATTTATATTTTTAAATATTAGCAATGGTGGAAAATCGAATTTTATTTAGGCCTAAATTTTTTTTTACTGCCCATGTAGGCAGCCGAGCATACGGCCCACCTGATGGTGAGTGGTTACCGTCGCCCATGGACTGCAATGCCAGGGGCAGAGCCAAGCCGCTGCCTACAATTACAAATACAAAATTTGTCTTTGTTAAAATTATTAGACAAGATATACTAGAGTATGTAAGCGCCTATATTTTCTTTGGAATCGCCCTGATACGTCAATTTTTTACTGTAAAAATCAAAATCGAAATTTGCAAAAGACATCGATTTAATTTAATTTTGTTGTCTGATGAATCTTACTTTTTAAAACATTTAATTTGTATTTCAAGATTTTTATTTTTTCTTTTCCAAAGAAAATGGCCTAACTAAAAGTCTCGTAACTAGACCATGAAATCTACAAAAAAATCTACAAAGAGCATGAAACTGATACCCCCAAACTTTTGGAACAAAAGTCCGAAAGCTCGGAAGTTCCGAAAGTCACTTCACTTTTCATTTAATAAATAAGTCATCGATATTTTATTGTGAATTATGTAATTGTGCTCAATTACACACAAGTATCACACACTTGATCGCCTTTCTTGAAATGGAAAAATGAAACTACTACGTTGAATCTTTCAGATGCAGTAGGACACATTTTGGCGGAAATTTGAATAGCGAAATTGTATGAATTGTTTTATTTTGTCAATTGAGTGAATCTTGAGGATTCAATGTGTATTAATGATACTTTAATAACCATTTAACAACTGTGAAAGCTTACAAATGTGGGAAACTTAAACAACGTTATATATAACTTCTCGAGTTCTTCCAAAAATTCCACTGAAGTGTCAGTAAATAATTATCATTTTACAGATTTCTTGGTATCAATTCTCAGGATCTAATAACATTTAGCAAGAAAAAGTTATTTTGGTATGCAACTATAACAACTTTAAAGCAATTTATATATTACCTATATGCTAGGTTTACCGAATGTATAGGCGAGCTCACGGGGCTTAGCCTGAGAGACTTTACTAACGTCTGCCCTAGCAATAGCAATACTTCGAACTGCTGAACCTCGTACGAGGTCCCCGCGCCTAGGGGGCGCGCGGGGTATGTGGGACTTGATGATCTGCAAGGTGTTGGGAGCAGACCGCGGGCCCACGGAATTTTAGGGCCCCACCCACTAAACGACTCCCCTGCACTCTTACACCTGACGTCCGATCTCCGTCCGGGGTCAAAACCCAGTAAGAGTAGGGGGGTTCCCGTGGTCAACACTACAACCAGATACGTGACGCTACCCCGAGGACGCCCAACCGACATGACTTCGAGACGATAGTCAACGACCAACGACGTCGGTCTCTGCGGTACGGTAGCCCTACCAGGACGCCCGGGCGATGCCGCTGGTGTTCCGGAATACCCCGCTGGGCCAGGACTAGCCGGCCGGGTTGGAACGTGATACACCGCCGACCGGGTTGCGCTTCCACAGTATGCTCGGCGATGACAGCGACGACGAAAATGCGGACCGCATCGCAGTCCGCAGCTGCCGACGCGTCGTCCCGTCCTCCTGGTGCCAGCACGCTAGAGTGACGGTAGCGTGCAGCGCAGCCTCAACCCCCTTAGGTCGCCCCATGACCATCACCGGGAGGAGACTGCCTCCTCATAGAGGCCGAAGCTGGACAAACGCCCTCCTCCGACCCTCGGCTCGGTGGCGGTGGCACGGCGCCGAAAGTGAGGATGAGTTCTCCCTTTCCCGTTCCGCCGTCTCCTTCTGCGAGATGGTGGACTTGCAGAAGTCGAGCATCGCCTGCCAGAACTCGTCGCTGCCGAGCATCGTAGGCACGACGGTTGGAAGTGACAACTGTTGTAACCTTCTTTTCCATATTCCATTATTTGAAATATACTTCGAACACATTGTCATTTTTACCATCTATCATTATTATATTTTTATGCTATGTCTTGAAAACATTGTTTTATTATATTGGCGACGAGGATGGGATATGGAAAAGAAGGTTACAACATTCCGGTCCTAATTTTGCAACGAGGACGCGGCGCTGCTCCGCGAAAGCGGGGCAGTACGCGTGTGCTCCGCCGTGTCCTCGTTGCAGCCACTGCAGTGCTGGCATTTCGGCGTAGGTAGACCGAAACAGCCGTATCCCGTGAGCACCTGCGTCGCTGGGAAGGTGAGATGTCCTCGGTCGCCATTCACCCAGTCCGATAGGACCGGGCGGATCGCCTCGAATGTCCAAAGTGTTTATACTTAGAACAACTCTAAAAATATTTTACTTCTTGTTGTATCTAATAATTGAGATCATGATTATGTTATATTATTCTGTTCATCTTTATCTTTACTTGATACCTCCTGTTGATCTTAACCTTTGAATTTCAAGTAATTAAGAAATAATTATTTCAAATTCTTTCAAATCAAATTATATTTATAATTATAATAATATAATTGGTTATAAATAAAGGAGCTAAAATTAAATGTTATCCGAAAGTCTACCAAAAGTGATACTTTTAAAACAGCAGAAAAGTTACATCGACATAGGTACATAGCGACATCTATAAAAGACTTATTGAGCCACCGTCTAACATCACTAATCTACTCACCATCACTAAATGTAAGATTGACATATCGACAAATTACGACCTTCGACTACGCTAGTTGAGGGGTTGGCGCATTTTGCCACAGAGAGGGTTCGACCGGTTCGTATGTTTCGTATCTTCTTGAATTCAAAAAGTTTTATTCTTAAAGAGATTGATAACTGATATGATAAAAGGCGGTACTCGCGTCATCGTAGTGTTTGTTGAATAGAAAATGCCCGGTACGAAATACAAGCAGCTGTGCACTAAGAGCGATGTTGATGAAGACGTGTTTACTAGCAAACCCAAGTCGAAATGGGGCGATGTGTGTCTGCAAAAAGGGCTCTTATCCCTGGGCCTCATCTTGCTTTATTTTTCTTTATCAATCGGCCTTACTTTCTACCAACGCTGGCTGCTAAGGGTAAGTAACTTAAAGTAATATTAGTAAACATAAAATTATTGTAAGGCGCGAAATCAACCAGAAGCAGATAAGACTAGTTCATTCTATTGTAGTTGAAGCGGTCACTTAGGAATACCATATTCCCAGGTATACAGGATTCCCATATTACAATAATATTCTAATTACAAACTCTCAGCCCTGAGCAATAGCATTTTTATTGGATTTTCTTTGTGTACTGGTAACACTAGGTAAGACAATATCTTGTAAAGTTTATACATCAAATAAAAAAATTAAAAAATTATACACTTATAAATTATAAACTTATCTGGACATTTCACGTAAACAGTGCAATAACATCACTTATGCAAATTATGTAATTTTTCAGGAGAAACATTGGAAAATTCAACATCTTATTATATCATTCTTATATAGTACTGCTAGGCTATAGAAATAAAATAATAATGTTTAAACTACAACTTTAAACTTTCTTCAGTAAAAGCATACATCTCGCTCGTCGTCTCAGTAATAACTATTAAAAAAATTATTTTCTCATACTCAGTCCAGTGTTAACGAAAATTGCATAAGTGACTTTATAGCACCATATGTGCGATATATGTACCTCAATTTAAAAATGTATGTACCTCATAAAGGAAATTATATGAAACAACTACTAGTTTCATTCAATATTTTGCTAGGTTTCTTTATTTGCCTTTTTTTATATTAATGAAGCGGTTATTATAAAGCACTTTATTTTCAACATATCAGATAGTTCAGAAATTATGAAACTAGATATGAATTTGTCCTTACACATAAAAATATATAACATCATTATTATTTTTTTCTATAACGTGTTAAGTAGTGGTGGTCTAACTCAATACCAAAATATAGGCCTTGAATAAATTGGAATATAGTATGGTACTGTAAAAATTGAAGAGGCACTGTTCCCTTGTAATACATTTATGCAATTCAATACCATTACAGTCACAATAGTATCCTTAGCAAACAACATAATAACAATTAAATACAATAATCATAGTGATAACGAAAATCATTTAATTTATCTACTGCAATAAAATACAATAGCCTAACATGCTTCTTATCTTCAATGTCTAGTCGACAATACATATAACATACTCTGTAACACATTTTCATACTGATTAATCTCAACTATAAGTTCCTTAAATTAAATTCATCAATAGAGATTAATGTAATTTTTTCAAGATGTTGCTTTATTATTTCTGTGTAAGTTTATTGGTAAGTATCAGGGGTGTTTAATAAATAGTGATTATGCGATACATTCTCCTTGGAAAGCAAAAAAAATTCTGGCAGGCACGCTCCAGACATTACATATAATAGTAATAAAAAAGCAATCATTTCTCTTTTCTTTTTAAAAATAGAAGTAATTTGTTTGCATCAAGCTGGAATGTATTCTGAAAATGAACAAAAGTGAAGCTTCTGGTAATAAAATATCTCTGCTTGAAAAATTTTACTACAGAGCTTGTAAATCAAAACTTGAGAGCAATATTAGGAGTTTATGCTTCTCCATTATCTATGGCTATGAGCTGGTGAGCTGAGTTCAAGTGAGGAAATACTTCTCTTAACTACGACCTCCATATGGGATGCTCTATATCAGTAGTGACTGAACAAATGATTAATAAACTTGAAAACATTGTTTTGGTGGATCATTGTGTTACTGTTAGTTTCATAGCAGAAGAAATGAAAATTTTCTAAGGAAGTCTCCATAATATTATACACAATAATTTAAGTATAAAAAAGTATCAGCATGTACATATTATATGCCCAGAATGTTTCCTGACACACAGAAACAAACGAGACTGAGAATTTCATAAAGCTATGTGCGTATATTACAACAAGATCTTGACCAATTTTAGACTCGATTCGTAACTATGGACAAAACATGGTTTCACCATTATTACCCAGAAACAAAAAACCAGTCCAAGACTTGTAAGGGACTGTCATGCCTAACTTCGAAGAAATGTAAGGCGATTCCATCCACTGGTAAGATCATGGGCTGTTTTTTCTGGGACAGCCAAGGGGTGGTAATGATTGAATACTTTAACATATTCAGTGCCTTGTAGGTCACTGGGGCCCTACGTGGCGCACTGAAGTAATTAAGTATAGTAAGAAGTAAACCTGAAAGGTGACTACTTTGAAAAATAAAATAACATTTAATAAAAGAAAATTGCACTATAATTATTATATACTTTTTATTGAGCACCCCTAGTTATTTATATAGTGATTTCATATTATGTTTGTCTATTGTAGGTATATATTTTTTGTATGTATGTATTTTTTTTTTCATAATTAAATAATTAGCTTAAAGACTTGAGATCTTTTGATAGATTGCTGCATATTGTAAACAATAGTACACCACAACATACTCGCTGCATCTTTTTACAATTTCGTTAGATAAAAATTGTTGTCTGAAAGAGGTATCTTCGGTTTGAGGAGATTCGAAAAAGAACCAAAGTAACCGACAGCCCAAAGGATTGCAATATGCAATTGGTAGTGGCCAGGGTGGGTACATTGCTCGTAGAACAGGTGGCAGTTGGGTGGCGATCGCGTATCGGAAGCAACGAGTAGGCCTCCCACGATAGTCGGAAGTGACGTTTTATCGAATTAACGTAATGTATCGTACATCTAACATACAAAATGTGTGACTACATTGATTTCATATAAATTATTATTGACGTGAACACGTTAGAGACGATACACTTCAGAAGAAATATCTTTTGAAGACACCCTATGAAGATGTGCCCTATTAGCTTATATGTAGTTTGAGAGCAATATAGGCAGTGGCTTAGTTTTGACGTCCATGGGCGACGGTAACCACTCACCATCTGGTGGGCGTATGTCTGCATATGAGGGAAATAAAAAATAATATACGTAAATGAAAACACAGTACGTGGCTTAAATCGCGAGCTTATAATGAGACCCATCGTAAAGTGCAATTTCTCAGACAAACTGATTGATAAAAACTTAAAGAGATAGTAAAAGTATAAATTTATATGTTATCTACCTATATACATAATCGTACTATGAAATTCACTGGGTATTTTGTATCTGTATCGAATGCCACTGTAACGATAAGCGCGGTGAACTGGTATTAAAAAACTTCGTCATTTTCATTCTATTATTATCGTATCGTATTTATAATATGTATACGTAATATCTATGAATTAATTGTATATGTGTTATAGTAAAATAATACAAAATAATATTTATTACGACTCGGCCTGGGTTGAATCTGTTGTAAAATAGTCGAATGGAATCGAAATTAGATTTCAGCGATGAATTTTACCGGTGGAATAATGTACAGATGTAAGTTAATTTCCATAGCGCATGAAAGATTCATTCGAACCCGAAGTGGCTTTCAATTGACCGCTGATTTAACCAGAACTCGGACCAAGGATTTGTGTGATCACCCTTGTTGAAAACGAAGAATAAAAATGAAAAACCAAACTTATATTGTACATACAATCTGTAATATATTCAAGTATCTAAATATATAGTAAATACAACGTCTAAACCATTAACTATTCTAAATATATACTAAAATTAACATTTACTAAGAAATTGTAACATGTGTTACTAGTCTCTAAATTCCTTAGACATTTATGTACATACAAATTTTCACAAAAATAGGAATTGTTATTGTTTTGTTTTCTCATTGTACTGAGAAGAAGGTATCCGTAGTGTTAAGCGGCCGCCTCCTTGAAGCAAGGTCTGATAGCTATCCCGCTCTACAAACCGTACAAATAACTTTGTGGTAGAAAGAGACAAGGTTGTAGTACCAATTCGTAAGTCTTCATTCGTGGATCTCCACGACGACCTGGGGCTTGACTCTGTCAGTAAGTATCTACAGTCGGCATCGCTGCGCCACTTTGAGAAGGCGGCACGACATGAGAACTCTCTTCTCGTGGCCACTGGAAACTACATACCCGATCCTGTAGACCGAATGGTAAACTGTCGACGTCGCCCAAAGCACGTCATTACGGATCCTCCTGATCCATTAACGGTGCTTTTAGGCACAAGCACCGGCACCGGCACCGTCGAACCCGTGCTTGCGACGAAAGGCTCGACGAGCGAATTAATCCATAGGCACAGCCCACTGACTTTCTCGCCGGATCTTCTCAGTGGGTCGCATTTCCGATCCGGTGGTAGATTCTGCGAAGCACTGCTCTTGCTAGGTTCAGTGTTAGCAACACTCCGGTTTGAGCCCCGTGAGCTCACCCACATACGTTAGGGCGAAGCTGAAATAGCCTCTCAATGCTATCAATATAGGTAGGATAAAAAAAAAGTCTTCATACTACCGGTATTCAAGATAGGAATCACACTTTTACAATCATACTAAGTTATTTTGGAATTTCCATAAATACATTGATTGCATTGCATAACACTGAATAAGTGAACTTCAATTAGTAAAAATGTAGTATGATGAAATCATATTGGTCTAGTTAATGAATTACTGTTTTTAGGACTTCAAATACCCATTGACGGTGGTGATGTACCACTTGGTTGTGAAGTGGTTGCTGTCTGTGCTAGTGCGTTTCGTGCTATACTGCATCACGAAGACCCCCCAGCTGGTGTTGCCTCTCGGGACTTGCATCCGGTCCGTGGCGCCGACCGGCCTGTCCAGCGGCATCGACGTGGGCTTCTCGAATTGGGGCCTGGAGCTCGTCACCATATCGCTGTACACAATGACGAAATCGACAACGATCATTTTCATTCTCGGCTTCGCGATAATTCTCGGTTTGGAAAAGAAGGTATGTTTGATTAGCTTGTATCGCTCGATTTAATTTTGTGTGTATTATTTACCTACTTAATAAGTGTACATGAAACATGTGCGAGAAAAAGTTTCCGGTCCTAATTTGATAATTCATTTCGGTTTTCCGTTTCCACCTAGAGCAGCGGTCGGGGAACCGGGCCAAATTACCCCAAATAGGGTAAAATGAAATTTTTGGGGGTAAAAATGAAACTTTTGTGAGTAAAAAGTATATAATTATTGAAGTGAAACTTCTTCAGAATCGTTGATAAATTTAATAAATGATGTTTAAATTAAATTTGTAGTTATTGTTTTCTTTTCAAAATTATCATGGAGGCTATAATATGAAATATGCTAAAAAGAAGCGATTTCGCTTTTTTTGTTCCTCGCCATGGGTAATATCAACTTGCACAAAAATATTTTGGGGTAATATATAAAAAAGTTTCCCGACCGCTGACCTAGAGCACTATATGAAAAATGAAAAGTTTTTTTCTTTCGCCAAACTAGGTTGATTAACGGTGTTTTTTAATGGCTCAGACGAGAAAAGAAGGTCACAATAAACCTGAAATTCAGTTCCTGAAGTTCATACAAGCAAACAGTGTGTTGGGCCGTCACGTTTCGACCCCGCAAAACCGATATCCTTGGCTCCGGCCTTCAGACGCTTGATAGCCTTGCCACTTCCACCGCAAACCTCAGGGTGGGCGCCTACATTAAATTTGACATGTCTTTATATTTTGATAACAACATAACGGCTGGCATATAAACAGCTATACCGCAAGGTCATAAAAAAACGGATAAAATACGAATTGAACTGTAAAATTAATGCTAATAATGACTGGTTATGAGTTTGGAATCTGTAGTCTTCAATTTAGCCATTTGACTGACTGTTTTTCAACAACCTTCGGATACGATTGGTCAGCCACCTTAGCGCGTTTTCCGGTAACGCCACGATGCGGTAGACGCGGCCTTAGATCATTTGCGCCAATCGTTTTTGCGTAACCTTGTTATTGTTTTCGATACACGAGTATCAACTATACTTTTTGTGCCCACTGAGTTTCTCGCCGGAACTTCTCAGTGGGTCGCGATTCTGATCTGGTGGTCGATTCTGTGAAGCACTGCTGTTGCTAGTGCTAGTGTTAGAAAATTCACTCAGGTTGAGCCCGTGAGCTCTCTTACTCTTCTGGGCGTAGTCGGAGTAACCCTTTAGGCTACTAGTGAATCGTATCGTATGTCGTATCACTCTTGTCAGAGCGGTCGTGGTCGTCATCCAGTATCATTGGTGTGGGCAGATGTTATGCGCCTCACGAGCAATCGCCACTCCTCGCGGTTTTTGGTGAGCCTGGTACACTCATGCACACAGCCGCCAACTGCCGACTTGATCTGGTCGGTCCATCGCATAGGTAGGGGAAAAAAAACTTCTTACCTACGTAACTCGATGGCGTAAGCGTTTACAGTTTACGATTTAGTGATCGGTCAAGTATATTTGGAGAGGTACGTGAACACTACGGTTTGAGGACATGTTGATCGAAGCAGACCTTCCACGCGGTGCCTTTTAAAAAAAAGGAATATTATTATTTTCAGAATTACAAAATACCATTTCTTGTCCCAAACGGTTTTTAAATGATAAGGAACCGTTCATAAAATATGTAACGACAAAATTTCGCTTGTCCAAAATTGAAATGTTCAGCAGATTTTCAAAAACATATTGTTTACTTGTAAGCAAGTTTTTAGCCTTTGGTTCCCGCAACGGCATATACCTCGTTCGAATGTTATGCTTAAGTTCTGGCTGAACATCGCAAAAGTGAATTAGCAGCTTAAAAGAGCCAACACTTTTTTAAATCCTAACCTAATTCGACATAGGTGGCGTTAAAAAAAATTTGAGATATTTTTATCCGAAACAAATAACACTAGTAATTTTTTGATTATTTCAAAAAACCAGCGAAATTTTATTGAAGCCCTATTCGTTTTTGATTAATATAATAATTGCGTGTTCAACTTAGCTAGTCACGTTGAACTCGCAACAATTAATTTAATCAAGACTTTGTAGTTCTTCTCTTGTGTAACGATCGAAGTGCGAGCAGTACACAGAATTTAATTAAATCGCGTCGCCAAGTTGCCGTTGTAAAACTTAAATTTACCTATTACTAGCAACCTGCCCTCGCTTCGCTTCGGAAACTGTAATTTATTATTGATTTCTCCACTATTTAATGGGTGTTATTATACATATAAAACCTTCCTCTTCAATCACTCTATCTATTAAAAAAACCGCATCAAAATCCGTTGCGTAATTTTAAAGATTTAAGCATACATAGTAGGGACAGACAGATGTAGGGACAGAGAAAGCGACTTTGTTTTACACTATGTAGTGATACTGATTTCGTTATTGTTGCTATTGATCAAACCGCTACTCGGTTGGCTTCGTCGAAGACGATACTTTCGTGTTTAATTAATCAAAGCGCGCGAGCAACAGGAAATTAGTTTTATCGTGTAATTAATTTTTTTTTTGAAACCATAGAGATGAGGAAATATCAGGTAGTCTAACTGGTATCAGAAGCGTTCTGTGTGCTTAGTGCGAGTTTTTTAACGTTCTCGATAGTGTAAACGTTAACTCCATTTTGTATGCAGTTGGAACAGCGCCCCTAGCGGCGAACGTAGGCTTTTTTTTACTGCCCTTGTAGGCAGACGAACATACGGTCCACCTGATGGTGAGAGGTTACCGTCGCCCATGGACTTCAGCAATGCCAGGGGCAGAGCCAAGCCGCTGCCTACCGTAAACGCAACGCAAACGATCAATTACAAATAAATATGAGTTAACTTTCACGCTATCGAGAACGTTAAAAAACACGCACTAAGCACGCTGGAGAAACTTTTGAAGTTACTTAAAGACTGGACCACGCTCCTTTATTATGTCAGATTTACCTTTGCAGATGATTGAGGTCATGATTCCGTTGTTACTCTGTCTGTTTTTTTGGTCATTGAATAGCTTTGTTCCTAGTACAATTTAGTTATAGGTGCAGTAGGTTTATTAAAATTAGTTATGTATGTGAAAATAAATTAATTATGTTTTCTATTTATTTATTTATTAACATCGCCTTTAATATTTATAATTCGAGTACTAATTTAAATAAGTTATATGAATAGGTATTATGATGAAGACCATACCAAATAATTTACCAAATATTCCCACTATCAACAAATTCATGTTGATAGCGGAACAAGAAGTGGTGCAAATACATATTAAATAAAAATGTTAATTAAGTATAAAATGTATCTAACGTTATCTTGTGAACTCGGGCTATTTGCAATGCCACACGGCCTATTTTTCAGGCTTAACTTGCTTGTCAGTTATTGATGTGTACGAATGTTTTTCTTAGTGGAATCTCGCTAAATGTTATTAACACAGACTTTGTGTTAATAAATAAATAGCCGCATCATTAAATGTGTCTTTTACGTTCATCAATCGATTATTGTGCCTTCACTATAAGCGTCATAAAATTCGTTCTATGGGGTTTCTTATCCACTATCTTTAATCTATATTTAAATACACAAATGAAATACCATTACGAGATCTCCGAAACCGTGCGTCCGATAGACTGTTATTTGGTATAGGTACTCCTTTTGCTAGCCAGCCCAGCCCATCCCAGCCCGCACTAAGAACGGATTTTACGAAATTCTCCATATCCATCCGTATCCTTATATCATCACATATATAAAGCAATGCAAAAGATAGGAAAAGATAACATGCCAGTGATTGGTAGTCCATGGATCAGTGAGACAAGCTATATTTTATACCGGGCAAAAGCAATGTTTTTTATTAGATCTGGCTTTCCAGCCTGACATCACACGACACATGATAGAATAGACGCACAGAAAACAACAAATGTCTCATAAATACTAATAAACGAATATTGAGATAAACATCCCTTAGATTCAGTGTGACAAAACTTAATCTAATTTAAGTTGTCTCGACAAACGATTTATTGGTAAAATAATTCAGCTGTTGTCGATTTTGAGATTTTCTTGTGGCATTTAGATTTTAACTAAACTATTATTCTATTTAATTAAATTTTATCTGACAAAATTATGAAAAGAACGACTGAAGGATCTAAGATAACCATGAATGTGTTCAATACGTCTGATTATTGAAAAATAAAACACGAAATTGAACTAAAATACTTTTTAATCGTGCCCCACCTCTCTAAAAACCGAAAAAATCTATACTTTATAATTCTTTTACGGGGCTAGGAATAGTTCATAATATTTTCACGGTAACAGCTTTGAGATTCATTATTGATGAAGGAACATGGCATGTGTTTTGGCAAGGTGTTTGCGTCATAACACTCTCTGTAGAATGACACTCTTGTGCTTGAATACATTCGATTTGATTAATGTGGGCGTAAATTCTTAGGCGATTACTTCCCCTTCGAGAAATTTAAATCTAAATCATCGAACACGCCAATCAAATTTAACCGCTCTAACGATTTCATTATGTACTATATTTGTTATAACAGAAATAGTATAAGTTTTGAATGAAAAATAAAAAAGGACAAAAACAAAATTGATTTCAAACTTCTAAGTGAAAATTAATCGACACCTAAACTTCAATTTACAATTACTAATGACAGCCAGTGATTATTTTTTTAATAATAGAATAAAATTATTAATACTATTTGTCAATTTTGGAAGGACAGAAGAGTATTGTTCTGTTTCTACGCGCGCTTATTCCAATAAGTTTATAGATTTGCTGCATAAAAACTACATTTGTTGGAACCGTTTTTTGATATATGTATAGAAATCCTCATTTATTGGTCACAGAATATGGGAATAATTAATCTGTGTTATTGAAAAAAGAATTGGAACATCATTATTATATCGACGTATATTGCTCATTGACTGTCAAAGCGACAAGCTGGAGTTACGTCAAGTTAGGTATTTGCGGCACAAGAAGTCGATGGAAGTGTCGACAACTTAATTTAAACTACAGGTACATTATTTTCGTGG